ACGGGCGGGCACCCGGGGGGGGGGGGACCCAGGGCAGGAGACCACCGAGCCCACGGGAGGGCACACGGGGGGGGGGGGACCCAGGGCAGGAGACCAGCGAGCCCACAGAGGAGGGGGATGGGGACCCAGGGCAGGAGACCAGCGAGCCCACGGGAGGGTGCACGGAGGAGGGGGAGGGGAGCCCAGGGCAGAAGACCAAGGCCACAGCTGAGCAGCCTGGAGGCTGGAGCTACCATAACCTGTGCTGGGGGCCGGGCGGCTTGGGCAGCCCTGGGCAGCCTGTGGCGTGGGCTGGGCCCGCACAGGACACCTAGCAGAAGGTCGGCTCAGGCCCATCCCAGCCAGGGCCACGCAGAGCACCAGAACGTGTGTGCGGGCAAGGGGACCAGAGGCCCTCGGCAGGCCCTGCGCCGGGGGTGCCCAGACACCCACAGCCACTCTCATCCACACTGGTCTGCGCTGGAGGCTGGGCCGGCCTGAAGGCAGGTGGGCACATCAGGGGCACCCCTTGGCCTCCAGACAGAAGGGCCAGGCCTCTGCTGGACAGGGGCTGCAGGAACAAGAGGCAGGCTGGGCCCTGGGCTGAGGAGACCTGCCTGTCTGTCATCTGTCCCGGGAGTCCCCGGCACCCAGGGGACGGACAGCTGGACCAAAGCCACCAAGGAGGCCTCCTGGGCCGTCGTCCCGGACACAGCAGTGAGGCAAGGCTTCCCCAGCCCGGGCTGCCACCTAAGCTGGGCTGACCCAGGTGACACCGAAACTGCGGCTGACCAGGAGCAGCCGGTGTAGACGGGCTCCCAGGACCCCCACACCAAGGGCGTGAGGTCTGGCCCCTCAACAAGGAGTGAAGGGCACGGCCCCTCGCTTGGGCACCTGGCCTCTGTTCCCATGGAAACCATGTCACCAGGCACAGCCACCCTGGCTGGAGGGCCCAGGAGAACAGTCCCCCTCTGCTGGGGAGTGAGCTGAGGGACCTGAACCCTGTCCCGCCCAGAGCACAGCAGCTCCCTGCACCCGTGCCCCTGGGGACGTGGGCCCGCAGGCGGAGTGAGCACTCCTGCGAGGGACACGCAGCCCGGCCTGCAGCTCTGCTCCCGCGTGATCACGAAGGGCTGCGTGGCTCCGTGGACAGCTGCAGGCCAGCCAGGGCGGGAGAGGGGAGTCCCCAGGACTGGCCCCCAGAGCGGCTGGGAGGGGCTGAGCCAGGACCCTGACCCTGGCCTCTGGGAGGCAGGCAGTGGAGGCGGGGCCCTGCTTCCTGGGTGGGCTGGGCGGGAGGGCGGGGGCTGTGGGGGCGGGGGCAGGGGCTGACGGGGGGGGGGGGGGGGGGGGGAGGCCCTGTGGCCCATCCGGCAGGCAGAGGGAGGGGCCATACAGAGATTTCTCCGAGCCCCGCCCAGGGAAGGGCTGCAGATGCCCCTGGCAAAGCCTTCCCAAATGCCCCAGGGTCACACCTGCACCCTGGGGTTCCCTGCCCACTGACACTTCACTGAGTTTTGGCTGAAAGCTCACCCTGGGAGCCAAACCGAGGACCTGGCTTTGGACCAACCCAGCACCGAAGTGGGGGAGGCTGGGCCATGGGTCACTGGGCTGCCAGTCAGCACTGAAGGCAGCGCCAGGCCAGCTCTGGACACCACCCCCAAAAAGCAGTTCAATGGGTGTTCTGAGCAGGAAGAAGGTGCCCTTTAGGGAAAACTTCTGCACCATGTCCGAGAGTGTGGGCACGCCCGATACCAGCACTGGCCTGTGTACAGCCCCCCAGAGCTGACAATCAGTGTACTACCCTCTGCCAGGGCCTAAGGGCATCACCACCGCCCTGTCTGGTCCCGCCCAGGGTGGGGAGGCCAGAGGACACCCACCAACTTCCAGGGTTTTTCTTGGGAATTCGGATCCCAACAACCACAGGCCACATCTTACAGCCACGTTTGTGGAAGGAGCACCCACACCCACATTCCCTTCAATGACACAGTCCCTCCGAGAACCTGCATCTTTCTGGAACCTCCTTCCTTCCTACTGAGAGCCTGCTTGTTTCCGAGAATCTCTGTTCTGAGTGCTTCTGAAACCTTCCACCCTTGACTAAGTGGCAGGGGGTGCACTGGGCCGTTAGCATCTGGGCTCTGGGTACCATGGGCCAGGCTGGGCAAGTGGTGTGGCTCTCACTGCTGCTGGGCCCCAGGGCTGTGGCGTGGGGACCCCAGGGCCCAGCTGCACCACCACACCTGTTATCCCGACAGAGGATCCACTGTGGCCACCAGGTCGCTAAGAAACATTTCACACTGTTGGACGCAGTGAGTGGCTCTTAAAGACCCCTGCCCGACCGAGGAACGCGCCGGCTTGGAGAGCTGCTCCCGGCCCGAGGAGGTAAAAGACGCCCTTCACACACACATGGTCTCCTGGGGTGCGGCCCCTTCATCGCGACGCGGCGGCGACTGACACAGTCTACACGGACGAGTAACTCTCCGTAGAGGCCTCCACACGGCCGGCTAGTCAGTCCCGAGGCCCCTCCCTGCAGCCAGGCTCAGCTCCAGGAGACACTGGATCGAGTGAAGACCCTTCCCGACTCCTCATGGCCGAGCCTTTCCCAGCCCGGGACAGCCTAGAGCCAAAGGTCCAGGGTCGCCTTTCACCGAGGCCGAGGGAACTGGCTAAACCATGGACCAGGTCCTGGCCAGTGGTGGTCGGAGGGGCTGCGGATGCTGGGAACCTCTGCATGGCTGGTGCCACCTGCCCGCTGCCGTCAGCACATCAGGGACGAGGGCACGGAGGGACTGATGTCCCTGAGAGCAAGCCCAGGGAGCAGAGGGCACCTGGACAGGCACTACCCATGCAGATGGTCATTAGGTGGGAAGTCTGGGTCCGAATTTGGCCTGGCCGCCTCACCTACTCGGGCAACAGTAGGCGGCTGAGGCCTGCCCACCAGAACACTGATGTTCTCAGGAAGAGGAGACCCTGGGCTGCACCCCCCTTGACCCCCAGGGTGGCCCGCTGGCCCGTCACTGCCGTCACACAGCTGAGTCTGTGGGTACATGCAGGGTGCCTGAGGGTATCTGCCAAGTGAATGGTCTGTTTTCTTTTCTTTTCTTTTTTAAATCCTCACCTGAGGATATTTTTCCATTTATTTTCAGATAGAATGGGAGGGAGGAAGGGAAAGAGAGAGAGAGAGAAAGGGAGAGAGAAACACTGATGTGAGAGAGACACATCGACTGGTTGCCTCCCGCACGACCCCAACCAGGGCTGGGGACAAACCACAACCAAGGGACATTTCCCTGACCAGAATCAAACCCACGACTCTGGTCCATGGGCCGATGCTCTAACCACTGAGAAAACTGGCCAGGGCATGAATGGTCTTTTTATTTTTATTTTTTAAGATCCTCACCGAAGCCCCGGCCAGCTTGGCTCAGCGGTTGGAGCGTCGGCCTGCGGTACAGAGAGACCCGGGTTCGGTTCCCGCTAAAGGCACGTACCTTGGTTGCAGTTTGTCCCCGGCCCTGGTTGGTTATGTGGGTGACAACCACTTGATGTGTCCCTTCACATCGATGTTTCTCTCTCTCTCTCTTCCTCCCACTCTATCTGAACAAAAAATGGAAAAATGTCCTCGGATGAGGATAAAAAAAAAAAAATCCTCACCCAAGGATATTTTCCCCATTTATCTTCAGATAGAGTAGGACACACACACACAGAAACATTGATGTGAGAACTCGCTGTCTCCCTCTTGACCCCAAGTAGGGCTGGAGGCAAACTGCAACCGAGGCACGTGCCCTTGACCGGCATCGAACCCGGAATCAAACCCGAGACTCTCTGGTCTGCGTGCCAATGCTAGCTGCTGAGCAGACCAGCCAGGGCCGAAGGGTCTATTTTTAAAAGCCATTATATTAAGGTGAACCCACTGGAGTCCCTAAAAATGTGTCATATTTTCCCTAAAGTAAAGTACACCTGTAGTTTGCTAAAGTGAAAATAAATATTGAAGTGAAAAAAGAAAGTTTTAGTCCAGTCCAGTGATGAGCTCTGGCATTTATTCCTCTTGGAAGGACACAGACTCAGACGGGTGACACTACACAGGTGCGCGGGGACGTCGCTGCGGTGTGGGGAATGCAACGCGCATGCACACGCCAGGCTCCTCCCGGCCTCGCAGTGGCGCTGCCTGGGCGCGAAGGCGGAGGGCCGCCCCATGGCGCACGTCCTGCATGTGCAGGGCGTGCACACGCATGGAGCAGAGACAGTGCTCCCCAGCCCCTCCAGGTGCGGCTGCAGGGCCCGGGCAGGACCCTGGACAGGGCCAAGCAAAGGGACGTCCGTGGCCACCACAGCAGATCTCGACTGGAGTGTCTGTGCACCACAGCGTGTGTGCTGGGAAGGGCAGCCTCTTTCAGAGTGTACACTGAAAAGGCTCCTCGTCCGCATGGCGGGTGGGGTGGGGACGCAGACACACGGGTCATGGCACTAGTGCGGCAGGTCGGAGCAGAGCTGCGCCCGGAAGTCCCTCTGGCAGGACCAGGAGCCTCGCTTCACCCTCGAGCAGGGGTGGCTCCTGGGAACGTCCCCGCCGCCAGCCATGCCCTTCACCAAGTCACACCGAACTCCACTTCCAGAGTTCAGAGAAACGCCCGTGACTATCCCAGGTCAGGCACCCCTGGAAATCCCTCCGGGCCCTGGGCCCTGGGCCGTGCTGGGCACACAGCACTGCCCTCCCGGCTGGGCTCTGGTTCCGAGAGCACGGTCCTCCTGGATCACCGGGCTCTCTTTACTTCTCAAGATAAGTGCTTTTTTCCAGGCTTGAGACAAACACTAACAATGCCAGCTGTCCGCGTTTTAAAAGTAACGCAAACACTTTCGGAAATCCCCAGAACCGAGGGAGGCTGTTGAGGAGAGGGCCCGCCTGCTCTCACGACCCGGGCACACCTGCTCGGAACACCTCCGTGACCCGTCCTGACCACAACTGACCTCACTGCCGCCTGACTCCCTCCTTGCAGCCAAGGCCGAGGCAGCCCACGGTGACTATGGTGGAGGGGGCGGTGCTGTGGGAAAGCCACGTTACACAGACGGTCGGGGCAGAGGATCGAGCTACCACAGCTGTGTCTTTTTTTATTGGGGACCAGGTGGACTTTCCTGGGTGGACATCCCCAGGGCGGACAGTGGAGTGGCAAAGAGTCAAAGGTGAGCAGGGGTATCAAGCCTGGAAGTACCTGGTCTGGGAGGTCCAGCCGAGTCCTGTGGGGTGGGGGGTGGCGGCAACAAAGTGCTGTTGGGGCTGCTGATGTCCCCCTCCCCAGTGAGCGTCAGGTCGGCCACATGTTCGCCCTCCACGGTCTGGACGCCCCCAGCCTCCGATTCCTGCACATGGGGCGTGGGCGTCTTGGGAGTTGTGGGGGTGCAGAAAGGTGGGCTGTCAGCTGAGCTGGGGCTCGTCCCTGGGCTGTCGGGGTGGTCTCGCGCAGGCCCCCAGGGCTCTCGGGGCCGGGGCGCCCTCTGCTGGCCCGGGCTGGCGGCGGCGGTCTGGCAGGGCAGGCCCAGCTCTGTGGGGCTGGGAGGCAGGCGCAGGAACTCCGGCAGCACCAGATCCTCCTTCCTCAGCAGCCCACGCTGGTCGTCTGCTCTGTTGCTCTGAGCTTTGGAAATAAGCTCAAAAAACGCTATTGGAAGAAAACCGGTATCGAACAAGTTTTAGAGATTTTCTCACTCGGGCACCCACAGCAAAAGTGCACATCTGGGAAGTTCTCGTCTCCACCCCATTGCCCTCAGCGCGGTGGCCAGGCCCCTGCGTCTCCAGCACCTCTGCCCACAGCACTGTGGGAGGCCCAGGCTTCCCGAACCATCAAACACAGCCCCCGCCTCCCTGGACACTGCGCTGTGTGAAGCCCGGATCCGAGGCGCCCCCACCGTGACCAGCACGGCTGCAGCAGGCATGCCGCAGGGCCTGCTGTCTGCTGCGCCAGGGACCGTGCACCCAGCACTGGGTCCCGCCCAGGACGAAGGGAGTGACCCACAGATGCTTCCGCACGACAGAGCCAGGGGCAAGGTGAACCCGCTGCGACCAGGAGGGGCAGTGGGTGAAGAGGGCCCTTGGTGGTGGCACCCAAAATTTAAGGCCTCTGGAGTCACCCGTGTATATGGGGTGGTCCTGACGAGCCCGAGAGCAGTGCCGAGCCCTCCACCCCCCACCCCCCACCCCCGCCTGAGCCCCACGGCCCCTCTGGGCCTCCCACCTCCCCGGCACCCGCCACGGCCTGCCACACACCCCCAGCCTCCCCGCGGGCTCCTCCAGGACCCCTTTCCTTACCTGGAGGGCTTTTACATTTTAACGCAAGGTCACCATCAGAGGACAAAGTGCCTAAACTGAGCTCTCTAGCATTCAAACGACACTCAGTTCTTGAACAAGGGTGGGACGTTAAAATCGCAAATCCTAACCCCTCTCAGAGATGCACCAGCCTCCGAGCGGGCGTTTCCCTCTGCCCGGTGCCAAGGCGGGTGAGGGAGGTGCGCTAATGGTCCCGGGGTGGCCTGCACAGGGAGCTGTGACTGCAGACAGGAAGACCCCTCTGGACTAAACTCCAGAGCACAGCAACAGTGTTAGTTTTCATGCTGCTTTTCATGCGTTTCTTTGTTAGAAGTTTTTGGAAGAAAAAGATGTGTCCATAAAGGAGACCATCCCTCCCTCTGGGTCTCTTGGGTGCCTCCTGCAGGCAGGCCCAGGCAGGTGCAGCCTGGCAGGCCTGAAGGTCAACGCAGAGGGCCCTCCCTGTTGTTGAGACCCTCGGACATACACAAGCCTCCAACCCTGCCAGGACCACTGTGCTGCCCTCCCCCCACTGCCACCCCCAGGGGACTCCCTGACTCCTAAGGGCCCAGCTCGCGGTTTGAAAACTAGGGTTTTAGTCAAGTTACACTGACAGCCCAGACTGACCCGGGGGAGTACACGCTCATGTGACAGGGATGACAGTCACTCCGATGTCACACACACACACAGAGTCCTAATGACTGTACTAGAAAACTGACATTGTATTCACTAAAAATGTGCAAGTTTAAAAAGTACACATACCCTCTGCTTCGTCCAAATTAATTTTCTGATATTTTTTTTTCCCAATCTTTGCAATAGATTCTTCTCTCTTTGAAAGCCGGGGATCCCTAGCATTTTTTCCATTTTCTCCTTTTATTTTAATAGAATTAGACTTGCCTAGTGTTCTCTCCTCTCCCTGCATCAGAAGGAAAGTCAAAGTTCTACTCACAATTCAGACACAGGGCAGCACACAGTTCAGTTAGACAGGGAGGGCCTCTGACACGCGGCCTCGCTCGCAGGGAGCGGTCACGACAGACCCACTACAGAGCCCAAGGCTCCGTGCCCAGCACGGGGGTGGGCTGGCAGGTCACAGGCCCCGGGAGCAGGCCCAGAGGGGGCGAGAGGACACCAAGAGGTGCTGCCAGCCCAAGCAGAGAGCGGCGTGCACCAGAGGGCGATACACAGACTCGCTGGGGAGCATGTGGCTGGGCGCGGGGAGCAGGCACGCCATGCAGGCCGGGCGGGGGAATTACCGTAGCCGAGAAATTTCTGGAGCTGGAGTTCCCAGCTGTATTCTGTTTGACCGGTGTCCCTTTCTGTTTATCTGTGGACAATGAGCAGATGAGACGAGCTTTAGAATGACAGAGAACACTGCAATGTAATCACGTTCATACAATCTTGAGAGCAAAGCTGGAGAGACAAAGGCGTGATGTCCCCTTATCCAATCTGCACATCCAGCCAAACGCCCGGTGCAGGAGCAGGGACAGGACAGGTCTCCCCTGCCTCTGCCGGGGGCAGGACACACTGAGTGTGTGGAGGGGAGACCACATGGGGGCTTGGCCATATTTTCGGGGATGTTTTGGAGGTGAGGCAATTGGAAACCTTGTTTCATGGACTATTCGGCATGAATAGTCTCTAGCAAGTAGAGTCGCATATTTTCAATACAATATTGGCCCAAGTCAGGGCTGCAGTCTGGCCTCCAGGGCCCACACAGCCCAAGCCCATCTCTCTGGCCCGACTGGGCTGGAGGAAGGGTCGCTCTGCCCAGCAGCTGCTCCAATGCCCGGCCTGCACCTGCTGCCAGCCCAGACATCATCTGGTGTTCAGCCCACGCCGAGCAGCCTGGGGCCTGGCTGGGTGGGGCCCTGAGCAGGCCGGGGTGGGGGGGCATTCTCTAGAGCAGCGGTTCTCAATCTGTGGGTTGTGACCCCTTTGGGGGTCAAACAACTCTTTCACAGGGGTCGCCTAAGACCATCAGAAACACATATTTCCGATGGTCTTAGGAACGGAGACACCGCCCCTCTGTCCGTCTCCAGGCGGCTCCGCCCACATGCACATGCGCCCACACACAACAGGAGGCGCTGTATCAGAGGGTCCAGGCTTTAGGAGGGGTGAGAACCACTGCTCTAGACCAAGGCTGGCCCAGGAAGGCCTCCGCTTTCACAAGAGGAGGAGCAGCGCAGGGCCCCAGGAGGACTGGCACCGCCAGTCCACCACCACAGGTCACCCGAGGGGAGGGCGTTGCAGGGCGAGCCAGCCCCAGACATCCTCTGGTCCTCAGCCCTGCGGGCCTCAGGCAGCTCCTTGCAGTCACCTCTGCGCCCAGGTGATCAGCAGGTGGTGCAGAAAGCTCTCCAGGAGACGCCTCCCCACTGCCCCCACCTGGAAGGGGGTCGGGGAGGCAGGCACTGGCTGCAGGACCCCAGTGCCTCAGGGCAGGATGTGGCCCAGGCAGCAGCACCTCCCTGAAAGAGTCTGGTGACCCATATGCTCCCCCCCAGGAAACAATGGGACACAGACACCCCCCCACGAGGCCATGTCACAGGGAAGCCGCCAGGAACAGCTCCTCAGAGCCTCCCGCACCCAGCACCCAGCACCTGGGAGCCGCACTGGGGCAGCAGACCACAGGGCCTGTCACCCGAGAGGAGGGGCTCAGGGAGGGCTCAGCCCTCGGGAGGGCACAGCTCCCAGAGCAAGGCCCTCCTGCTTCCAGTCCGATGCTTCCCCCCCCCCCCCCCCCCCGTCAGGGGCCCGACAGTCCAGGCCCTGCGACGCCTAGGCGCCTGTGCTCTGCCACTGCTCTGCGGTGGGGGGCGGCGAGGGAGCCCCCGCGTGGTGGGGGGGGGTGGAGAGAAATCCCCCGCGCGGTGTGTGGGGGGGGCGGTGGAGGGAGCCCCCGCGTGGTGGTGGGGGCGGTAGAGGGAGCCCCCGCGCGGTGTGTGTGGGGGGCGGTGGAGGGAGCCCCCGCATGGTGGTGGGGGCGGTAGAGGGAGACCCCGCGCGGTGTGTGGGGGGGCGGAGAGGGAGCCCCCACTTGGTGTGGGGGGGGCGGTGGAGGGAGCCCCCGCGCGGTGGGGGGGCGGTAGAGGGAGCCCCGTGCGGTGGGGGGGGCGGTAGAGGGAGCCCCCGCGCCGTGGGGGGGCGGTAGAGGGAGCCCCCGCGCGGTGGGCAGTGGGCTGGGCCTTCAGGAGGCAGTGAGAAGGGGACCGAGTGTCAGGGCCTCGCCCACCTTTCCCTCTGGAGGGGTCCTTCTCCTCCAAGATGACCCGCTGTCCGTCCAGACTCGATATGGGGGCGCCGAGGTCCAGGGGCTCCTTCTCTCCACTCTAGAGACCAAGGTGGCACACTGAGTCATTCACGCGGAGCAGCTCCCTGCTGTCCAGCTGCGGACAGCGAGACTGGCCCAGGCTTCGGAGTCACACTCCAGACCCTGGGTCCTGCCAGCTTGGCCAGGCTGCCTCAGCCCGAAGGCCCGGCGCTGGCGCAGACTTGGGCATGGAGCACCGAGACCGCGAGCCGCGTGCTGGAGTGGGGGCTGAGGGTCCGGTGGAGGAGCTGCTGCTGTCACTGGAGGAGCAGTTTGGCCTCCCGGTTAAAGCCCAGGCGCAGGGAGAAAGTGCTGGCGAGCGCGGCCGCAGCCTCGGCCCACAGGCTTAGCCCCTGAACGCGGAGGCAAGTGCACGAAGGTCTGGCCGAGGGGCCACGGTCCCAGCCACTGACCGCATACTACTGGGACGTGAAAGCGGCCGCAGAGGCCACCCACCACGGACAAGGATGCACAGGCAGCGACTCGGGCCGGGCTGAGGTGAGACGTGGGAGGGGTGGGGGGAGACCACCTGCTATTCAGGACCCTCCCCACTGTTTACAAAGAAACCTGAGCCCACCGGGCCATGTGGCTCAGTGGATGAGCGTTGACCTTGCAACAGGGGTTGCTGGTTCGATTCCAGGCCAGGACACATGTCCAGGTTGTGGGCCAGGTCCCTGGTGGGGGGCATGCAGGAGGCAGCCAATCAATGTTCTCTCTCATCGATGTTTCTATCCCTTTCTCTCCCTTCCTCTCTGTAAAATCAATGAAAATAAAAATAAATTAAAAAATAAAAATAAAAAAATCTGAGCCCTGGCCGGTTGCTCAGCAGTTAGAGCATGGGCCCACTGCCCAGAGTCACAGGACGATTCCAGTCAGGGGCACGTACCTCAGCTGCAGTTTGTCCCTGGCCCTGGTCAGGGTCATGCGGGAGGCAGCCAATCGATGTTTCTCTCCCTCCCTCCTACTCTATCTCAAAATCAATGGAAAAATATTCTCGGGTGAGGATTGAAAAAAAGAAACCTGAACTTGGCGCTTGGCTTCTCAAATTCCCTGACAGAACAGTGAAAGTGACCAAAGGCCACGCCGGGCACTGCCTGCCAGCTCCCTGAAGGAGGCCATGGCCCGAGCCTGGCCCGGACAGGAGGCCACCATGGCCACCAGGGCCCTGCTTCTCACGCCGTTCCGGCTCAAGTGGACACACGGGTGACAGGGACCAGCTGGTGCGCCCACGGCAAAGCCACAGGTGCCACACCCTCCACAGGAATCTACAGCCGGAAGCCCTGACACCCGCCAGCCTGGAAGTCCCACGACATTTTACAGACAGGGAAACTGAGGCAGAGAGGGTTAAGCAATGGCTTGGGATCTCAACAGAGGGAGAACAGGGAGCCCCAGCATGTCTGGCTTCGAGGATGGCACTGTCCCCTGCCGAGCAAGGGAGGAGATCGTGGGCGACCCCAGGACATCTGTAAATAATTTCACACAGTCCTCTCTCTCACACCAAAGGTCTTGAACAATTTTAGGGCTGGTGTCAGAGGAAATTAAAATGCTGAAAATATCTGAAACCATAGCTCTGATAACAGTTTATTTCTAAAAAGACGAGCCTGCGAGGCAAACCATCCTAAGTCACCACGACAGAAGCAAGCGGGTGCAGTGAGCTGGACACAGCGACTGCAGGATGGCCGGGCCCTGGGCCACAGCCTGCCGACCAGGCGGTCCCTGCACACGCCCTGCACAGCGACAGAACCGGCTCTCGCCCAGCCCCGCTTCCCTTCCAGCCACAATCCAGCAGCTTGGAAACGCCGGAGGGACTGTCAGAGCCGCCAAGAGGACATGACGACTGGGACCTTTAATGGGGATGCGCCCAGGCGGCCGACTCCGCCTGCCTAGCAGCTCAGGGTGCGGGGGTGGAGGCACCCCGGTCCCTGCTGTCTGCTCAGACTTGCAAAAACGGTCAGCACATTTCAGAGGTTTTTGTTTGTTTCTCATTTTGGTTTCCCTGGCCCCAAACCACATCTCAAATACCAACCGCAATCCGTTTGGGAATGACCAAGGTATAAATAAACGAGCATTTCCACTCCGTAGGATGAGAGTGGGGGGTGGAGGCGGCACCCTCCCACCCAGGCCGGCGTGGGGAGGAGCTGAGGACAGTCGCAGCTGCTCTGCCTGGTGCACTGCAGCTCCACCCCTGCAAACCGGCTCTGAGCTCAGGGTCACACCGCAGGCCCCCAGTCACTCACCAGCCTGGCCACCAGCTCGTTCAGGTGCAGGCCATACTTGGCCACCACGGGCCGCAGCACTTCCGTGACGGGCTTGGTGGGCTTGGCCTTGAGTCCCACTGACCGGTTAATGGGAACCAGATCCAGCCTTGTCAGAGAGGGAGAAACATGAACACATCCACTACAAATCTATGTCGACCTTCACTTAGAAATTCTTGAGCAGAACAGTGTGGCACCCACGGGCCGCCTTAGTGCCCCGGGGCCACCCGATTTGGCCCCAGGCTCTGACTGTGGAAGGGAGCTGACAGGGGGCTTCTCGGAGGTTTCCTGTGGGGCTGAATGGGGCTGTCACACCAGCAGGGAAAACCCTGCCCCCGCAGGATGGCCAGCTCTCCTGCCAGCCTGCCCACCCTGGAGTAACCCACTGTGGTCATGGGACAGGGAGGGAGAGTGACCCTCCGGCCCCTGGGCTCCAGGGACTGTGTGCAGCTGCCCCCCTGCCCCAGGTTCATGATGGGACCGGAATCCCTTTCCCAGCAACCACTCAGCAGAGCAGAGGCTGCAGGGACAGTTGCAGGACACTCTGTGGCTCAGAGAACCTGATGGGAAGGGCAGCCACTTTCTCACCGAAACAAAGTCCGCTTTTCTAGGCGCAGGTCTCTGGACGCCAGGATGCCGCTGTCTTGGTGTAGCACCAGAGGCTTTGGACACAGGAAGGAACAAAGAGGCAGGATCAGAGCGGGAGTGGCCGGCAGTGCGTCCAGCCTGCAGCGGACACGGCTGCGCAGAGGAGGAGCAGTGGCAGACACACCCAGAGCAGCACTGCGGGCCCACCCTTCGGGCAGCCTCCCGCAAACTGCCTAGACAGGGAGCAGAGGTCGGCCGCCAGGGCCTAACACTGCGGCCAAGAGGGCAAGTAACCAGGCAGGTTCAGTTAACAAGACAGATTAGCCGGTTCCCCACAGGCCAGGTCCCCACAGGCCAGCTCCCCACAGGGCAGGTCCCCACAGGGCTGGTCCTCCTACAGGGCAGGTCCCCACAGGGCTGGTCCTCCTACAGGGCAGGTCCCCACAGGCCAGCTCCCCACAGGGCAGGTCCCCACAGGGCTGGTCCTCCTACAGGGCAGGTCCCCACAGGCCAGGTCCCCACAGGGCTGGTCCTCCTACAGGGCAGGTCCCCACAGGCCAGGTCCCCACAGGGCTGGTCCTCCTACAGGTCAGGTCCCCACAGGCCAGGTCCCCACAGGTCAGGTCCCCACAGGGCTGGTCCTCCTACAGGTCAGGTCCCCACAGGCCAGGTCCCCACAGGGCTGGTCCTCCTACAGGGCAGGACCCCACAGGCCAGGTCCCCACAGGCCAGGTCCCCACAGGGCTGGTCCTCCTACAGGGCAGGTCTCCACAGGGCAGGTCCCCACAGGGCTGGTCCTCCTACAGGGCAGGTCCCCACAGGCCAGGTCCCCACAGGCCAGGTCCCCACAGGGCTGGTCCTCCTACAGGGCAGGTCCCCACAGGCCAGGTCCCCACAGGGCTGGTCCTCCTACAGGGCAGGTCCCCACAGGCCAGGTCCCCACAGGGCTGGTCCTCCTACAGGGCAGATCCCCACAGGCCAGATCCCCACAGGGCTGGTCCTCCTACAGGGCAGGACCCCACAGGCCAGGTCCCCACAGGGCTGGTCCTCCTACAGGGCAGGACCCCACAGGCCAGGTCCCCACAGGCCAGGTCCCCACAGGCCAGGTCCCCACAGGGCTGGTCCTCCTACAGGGCAGGTCCCCACAGGTCAGATCCCCACAGGGCTGGTCCTCCTACAGGGCAGGTCACCACAGGCCAGGTCCCCACAGGGCTGGTCCTCCTACAGGGCAGGTCCCCACAGGCCAGGTCCCCACAGGTCAGGTCCCCACAGGGCTGGTCCTCCTACAGGGCAGGTCCCCACAGGCCAGGTCCCCACAGGTCAGGTCCCCACAGGCCAGGTCCCCACAGGGCTGGTCCTCCTACAGGGCAGGTCCCCACAGGCCAGGTCCCCACAGGTCAGGTCCCCACAGGGCTGGTCCTCCTACAGGGCAGGTCCCCACAGGCCAGGTCCTCCCACAAGAAGGGCCCGGAGGGTGCTCTGGGCCCAGTACCTTGTCTCCGCCCACCAGGAAGAGGTCCACAGCAGCACCGTTGATGCCATGTCGCTCGCAGAGCCCGGACAGAACCTCCTTGATGGGCAGCCCTGCCTTGACGAGCACCGTGCAGGACGTCCCGTCGGGGAGCTGGACGCAGCAGTACGCGGCCTTGGCCTTCTCGGGCGCCAAGGTCCTGCAGGCCTCTGACTGGGGAGCAAGAGATCGGCGCTGGGTGGCGGGGAGCTGCGGGCTCCCCGAGGAGGGCTGAGGCCCACACCCAGCTCCAGAGATGCGGGACTATCACTCAGCACAGGGCCAGCCACGACTGCTCTCCTGACCGGACACTGCTGACGACCCTGCCTGTCTCGGAGCGCAGACGCTCACGAGGCCATACTGACTGAGCTCTCCTGGACAGGACAGGCCCTTCGGCTGCTGTCTTCGGGGCCTGTCATGGCCTGCCCGACCCAGAAGCAGACGGGTCAGTCTCTGAAGCCCACAGACACCACTCTGCAACCCTGAGCCGCCCTGGCCCACTTCAGTCCATGGGACAGGGACCACGAGGTGATCTGGATCACATAGGGCCAAGGTCCACCCCGTCGGGGGCCCCTCTGCTGCTTCTGTCCATCTCCCTGGCCCGTCCCGCCCAGCCTCCCAGGACCAGGCCTCAGGGAACAGACTGAACTCCTGGGCAGCAAGTCAGCCCGAGGAAGGAGCTGGGAGGGGGAGAGGGCCGTGCAGCAGAACTTCAGCTCTCCTGACGCCTCCTCTGGGTCAGTCAGTCTCGCTCCCTCCCCAGAAAGGCTCCCTGCACACATCCTAATGTAGGGCTGGCCCACCGGCCACTTCTGCCAGCCCTCCTCGGGACACTGACGGTCTCTTACCTAAACATCATTCAGAAAACTACTTTGTGGGTGGTCAAATGATTGCAAAATGGCCCGACTGTCCCTTTTCCCACAGACGCAAGTGCGTTGAACCCGAGCCTGGGTGGTGTGTCAGGAGCAACGACTGACGGGCTCGGGCCAGCCCTCACAGGAAGAAGGACGCGTTCTGCAGGCTGCTGCGCGACATGCCCACGTGCCCGGGATGCGGAACGCCGGCAGGTCCTGCCCAGGCCCCCCCCTGCCCTTGCCTCACGGGGAACTGGGGAGAACAGCAACCAGACACCCAGATTAGCAGGGTGTGAGGATGGAGGCGGCTTGCGAGGGGCTGGGCTGGAGGAGGGTCCCTCTAGTTGGCCCCACGAACACAAATGTCTGGGGTGGTGGGTATTCAAACAGGGAGGCGTGGACAAAGCCCCAGCCTTCAACGCTTTTCATTGTTCAAGTTAAAAAAAAAAAGGTGACTGCCCAGCCAGTGTGGCTCAGTGGTTGAGCGTCGACCCTGCACCAGGAGGTCGCAGGTTCGATTCCCAGTCAGGGCACATGCCCAGGTTGTGGGCCTGATCCCCAGTGGGGGGCATGCAGGAGGTGGCCAATCTATGTTCTCTCTCATCATTGTTTCTATCTCTCTCTCTAAAATCGATTAAAAAAAACAAATTTTTGTAAAAAAAACAAAATGGTGACTGCCCTGGCAGGTTTGGCTCAGTGGCTGGAGCGTCGGCCCGCAGACCCTGGTCGGGGTGCCTCCGGAGGCAACCACTGATGTGTCCCTCTCACCTTGATGTTTCTCTCTCTCCCTCCCTCCCACTCTATCTAAAGAGAAAAGAGAAAAATATCCTCAGGTGAGGATTAAAAAAACAAAAACAAACACGGTGACTGAACGAGAACAGATTTCAGAAATGACCCAGACAGTGTCAGTGCGCGAGGAACCCTCCCGTCTGACACCTGAGCCGTCTGCAGAGCACTCGCTACATGTGCACCTGTGGCTTCAGGGATCGGGGGTCTTGGGGCCCAGGGCAGGCGGGGACTTACCAGGTCCAGGCTCCCGGCAGAGGACACGGAGCCCTGTGACTCCCTGCGGCCCAGGCCTCCGTTGGCGTGCAGGGGGGCTTGACGGGGAAACACAGTGACTCAATCAAATGGTTGCACGCGTCCTCACTCCACACAGACCACTTGTGTCACGGTCCCGACCCTCACTCCCTCATGCTGGACGACGCACACAGGCAGATGGAGAAGGCTTTCCGAGGCGCTGCCCCTCCCGGGACTGATCTGCGACCTGCTGCTCCTCAGCGCTGCTCAGCCAAGGGGCCACCCCAGCCACAGAGACGCTGCTCCGTGGGGCCCGGCCCACCTCCGCCCCACCCGGACTCCTGCTGGCTCCTGGGCGGACCTCCCTTCCCTTCATCCGACATCTTTATCCAGCTTGTGGTTCCTGGGCCTGAACAGAACTGTCCCCTGTGGACAGCAGTGAGTGCCAGCCGGCACTGCACCTTTGCCTCTGGCTCGTGTCATGTCTTCCTGCAAAGACCCCCGGTGAGCCGACAACCACACCACCGCTGTGACTAACAGACCTTGCTGACCTTGCGCTGAGCCGAGAACCATGAAAACTCAACATGGGACCTGTTCCCCAGTTGTGCGGCTGTGCCGGGCCGGGGGCCATGGCGGGGCCGACCACCTTCCCAAAGCAACAGACTCCCAGGCCACCGAGTCGGAATTCCTGGGCAGTGCCCTGGAATCAGAATTTAAAGCTCTCTAAAGAGGCATGGGGGCCCCAGCCTGTGGGTCCTGTCGGGTGGACAGACTGTAAGAGGCGATCACTGCCCGTCTCCCTGGCACTTGGAGGTCCCTGCCCCACCTGCCACATGGCTTCCACCCCACAGGTGTCTCCTCGAGTCCAGCGCTCTGCCTGTCCTTGATACAGGACGCCCGCTGACAGCCATCCCCATACGGACCAGGGACCAGGGCCCCAACGCCGGCCCAGGCCCTGCCTCAGCCGCCTTCTGTGAGACGGGAGGTGAGACCTTCTCTGCAGGCGGCTCGGAGGAGGTGAGATGCACACCTGTCACCCACCCGGCCCACTCAGGGCACACACCCGTGCTGTTCCGCCTGCCTCCCTCCCTCCCCGGTGCTCCCTGCCTGTCTCTCCAGAGGGCCACCGCCTGGCTCAGATCAAGGAGCACAGGCTGGGGCTCTCGGGCTGTTCCCTGGAGAGCACTCCCATTCTTAAAACTGCAGAAAAGAGAACCCTTCCCAGCCCCTCCCTCCAGGGCATCCGCTAGCTGGTTGGGCGGCTCTGCCTCCCTGACGGCATTTCTGTTCTGACCTGCCAGTGCCCGCTGGGCTGGTGCCGGCACCCAGCAAGGACCCCAAGGCTGCTCCTCTGCGGTGGGACAGCCTGCCTCTGCCACATCAGCTTCCCCGTGACACACGAGAAAGAAACCAAGGGGAACAATCTAGAATGGGTGGCCTTTGAAGTTTACAGTGATACGAACTGGTTTGGAAAATGCTTGGTTGCCAACTACGGCACTACATTTAACCCCCAGAGGGCCCTGCGCACGCCTGGAAGAAAGCCTGGGCAGAAAAACCAGAGGCTCTCTGGGGGCAGGTAGCAGGTGTTTGAATTTTCTTTTTGTACTTGGTTGTATTTTCCAAATTTTCTCCCAAGAGCACCTGTTACTGCTTGAGCCAGAAGAGCGCAGGAGGGAAGGGAGGGAGGCGGGGCGGCGCGCGTGCAGAAGAGTTGAAGCCCCCGCCCCCTCTGGCTGGCCTGCACGTCCCCACTGCCCGTGGACCGCGGGGCCTGCACACCACAAACCGTTTGTGTGGTCACCGTGGTCCTTCTTCTTCTGGGACCGCCCAGTGCTCCTGGTCCTGGACCAGGAGAAAAACACTCCTTTCCGTTTCTTCTCGCTGTCCTCGTCCCCCACGTCTTCATTCAGGGATCGTCCTGATCGCGATTTTCCAGTCAACTGCCATCAAACAGAAAAGCCTATTAGAGCCGCGAGGTCGCCTGCACAGCGAAACGGGGCAGCGAGGAAGCGCTGGCTGCTCTGCAGGGCGGCACAGGTCCCTCCAGCCGGCCAGAGACAGCAGCTGGGCCCCTCCCCCGAGCGGCTCCATCCCTACACGGCACAGCTCACTGCGGACAGAGCAGGGCAGGGGGCACCTTTTTTGGCGTGGACACGTTAGAGTGGTCCGAGCTGACGCTGTGCTTGGAGGCCGGGCTGCTGGGCACCTGCTGGGGGTCGGGGAGGGAGCGGCCCTCCACCTCGGCCAGGATGCACTCTTGGTACAGCGGGGACTTCAGAAAGCGCGTGTAGCTATCGAACTTCATCAGATTGAAAATCTGCGGAATAAATGCAACACAACTGGTCACAGAAGTACAGGGAGCAGCCCTGAGGGTCGAGGGCATGAGACCTGCAGACACCTACTGGCCCTATTCTGAAAAAATGTTATTTGCCCATTTTCTCCACCCAGCTGCCCCAGAGTGCCTTCCCAGAATACTCTTTCTCATTACACGCCATCTTTCCTTTATCACACTTAGAACCGGCAAATCCCAACGCTCTCTGGGAAGCCAGCACCACGAGGAGATGGGGACAGTGGGTGCGACCTGCAGGGAGCAAGGGCTGCGTGGAAACCCTCCCTCATTTGTTCGCATTACTCCTGTGACTCAGCAACAGAAGTGACCTCTGGGAAGGCCTGTGGGACACACGCTTTAATCACATTAGGTCCGAGGCACATGTTTTACCACAGTGACGTCCTAAAATTGAAGAAATCCAAATGTATATACAGGGCTGGGCAGGAGTAAATTTACATAATACAAATAAATAATCACACAAGAATACACTCTGCACTCACGGCTGTGACCTACTTCTGCGCACGCTGCGCGCACAGCACCGCGAGCCTGGGTTCACACAGGCGCACAGGTGAAAGTATGACCGGACAGTCATTTGCAGGTGGCCCCTGAGCCCAGCGGGAAAGACGGGTTCCTTCCACCCCATCGGCACTGACCGGCTCCTCCCCTCCCCGCCTGGGTACTTGGATGCCCACTATCCGGGACCTGAGTCCTCGGCCCCACGCCCTGGCCGGCGTCCCTGCAGGAAACGGAAGCACGAAGTCACCTGGAGCTGCTGCTCCTTGAACATGTCGGGGTGCGGGGCGCTGAGGATGTCGTCTGCCAGCTGGGCCTGGCTGTCGATGTTGACCGGGGTGGTGGCTTTACTGCACAGGAACTTACTGAAGATCTCCCGGGCCCTGTAGGAAAGCTGGCAGGACACGTGTGTGAGCCGGACATGCAGACCACGGCTCCCTCCACGGTCCCGGCTGCGAACAGTTTCCTGGGGCCTGGGACTACCGCTTGCTTGAGCAGTAAACAAAAGCACAGGCCAGTGTGAGACCGGCACTGACTGGGCCCCTCCCTGAACGTTCTCAGTGGGCAGTTATGTGCCCAAAGCCTTGGGCCGCGCTGCCACCTCGGGACCATGTGCAGGTCCGTGTGCTGCTTCGTAGAGCTGGTCTCTGAGGGGACTGGGTCTGCGCAGCCTGGGTGTCACACACTGACAAGTGGCCTCACTAGGACAGGAGGAGGGCCCCAGGTTGCTGTGGGCCAGGCCCAGGCTGATCTGCCCCTCCCACGCCATGACATCCCCAGGGGGCCGTCGCTGCCCCTCCGCGGAGCAGGGCACAGCTGCGGGCACCGGGCTGGCTGCAGGCACTTGTGTGGACTGTGCCTGGGCAACTGAGTGCCAGTCTCCGGAGAAGCCTGTTCTGGGGGTGCTTGGGGTGAGCGCTTTCACAGGCGCTGGTGACCGTCCTGCTCCCTGACCGCCCACTTCCCAGGCGCCAAGAAACGTACCTCTTTTTTGTCATGTGCGGGAACATGATTAAAATATTCACAGGCCTGCCAGAATAAAATGTTTTCTTCACTAAACTCTTTCCTCAGAAAGTCCTGAAAAAAACACGGCCAGTTAGGCTTGCACCGTGGCCGGGAAGGCCGCGTGGGCCGTCTCGGGGGCTGGTTCCCTCCCTGCTCCCCTGCCCCCCTCACAGACGGGGCTGGGGGGCTGGTTCCCTCCCTGCTCCCCTGCCCCCCTCTCACAGCCGGGGCTAGGGGGCTGGTTCCCTCCCTGCTCCCCTGCCCCCCTCTCACAGCCCGGGCTGGGGGGCTGGTTCCCTCCCTGCTCCCCTGCCCCCCTCTCACAGCCCGGGCTGGGGGGCTGGTTCCCTCCCTGCTCCCCTGCCCCCCTCTCACAGCCCGGGCTGGGGGGCTGGTTCCCTCCCTGCTCCCCTGCCCCCCTCTCACAGCCGGGGGCTGGGGCGCTGGTTCTCTCCCTGCTCCCCTGCCCCCCTCTCACAGACGGGGCTGGGGGACTGGTTCCCTCCCTGCTCCCCTGCCCCCCTCACAGACGGGGCTGGGGGGCTGGTTCCCTCCCTGCTCCCCTCACAGACGGGGCTGGGGGGCTGGTTCCCTTCCTGCTCCCCTGCCCCCCTCTCACAGACGGGGCTGGGGGGTTGGTTCCCTCCCTGCTCCCCTGGCCCCCGTCTCACAGATGGGGCTGGGGGGCTGGTTCCCTCCCTGCTCCCCTGCTCCCCTCACAGACGGGGCTGGGGGGCTGGTTCCCTCCCTGCTCCCCTGGCCCCCCTCTCACTGACGGGGCTGGGGGGCTGGTTCCCTCCCTGCTCCCCTGCCCCCCTCTCACAGACGGGGCTGGGGGGCTGGTTCCCTCCCTGCTCCCCTGCCCCCCTCTCACAGATAGGGCTGGGGGGCTGGTTCCCTCCCTGCTCCCCCTCTCACAGACGGGGCTGCGGGGCTGCATGGTCTACGGAGGGCAGAGACATACTTAAAGCCGCAGGGAAGGGGGGTCTGTGCTGAGCCTCCTCCCACAGCGGGACTAGCGGGCCTGTGGCTGCCTTCAGGCATTTAGGAGACACCCTGCTGCTGAGCCAGCGCCCCCCTAGCCCTCGGCCTGAGTGCGAGAAGGCACTTGTGGTGGAGCTGCTCAGGGCCCGCAAGGTGACCCCGCTGCCACCGTCCCAGGGCCCGCAGCCCGTCCCTACTCACAGAGAAGTACTGGACGCCGAGGGGGTCCTGCAGGAGGCGCTCAAAGGACACGGCCCAGCTGGCGGCCCTCCTGTCCCGCAGGCGCCTGCAGCTCTGTGCGCTCGGGAGGCTGGCGTTGCTGCTCAGGCTGTGGCTGCTCACGCAGTCCTTCAGGTCGGCGCCGGTCAGCTCTGTGGGACAGCACAGAGCTCCCCTGCAAGGGTGTCCCCGCTCCTGCCCCCGGGCAGCGACCCAGGGCTCTCCCCAGTGTCGTCTCTACACACGCACCCAGGCACCGTACCGAACACCCCAGACGCGCCCAGTGTTGTTCCAGGCACAGGGGACAGAGTGTGGGACAGGCGGCTGCACGGAGGTGTGCACTCGGCAGAAGGGGCGTCCACACCCAGGCACAAGGCCGCCCCCTGAGGGGCTCCCGAGGGAGGAGGAGGCTCGATGGAGCAGGAGGTCAGGGCGTGGAAGGCAGGACCTGGGACTCCCTCCCAGGCTTGACAGGACGTCACCGTGGAAGCCGCACACTCACACATGCGCGCTTTGTGCACCAGGCGGGCTGGTCTCGGAGCAAAGCGCTTGGGCACATGTGTCGGTGTGGCAGCTCATTACAGGCCACCCCGAGGCGGCACACGCCACGTGCCCCAGGAGGTTGCTGCTGAGCAGTCTATAAAGCGGCACTAAAGCTGTCTGACTACTAGGCACACACCTGCAGCTATACAACACTGAATCCAACTGTAATGACAGATGCAAAGCTATTCAAGCAAAGGAGGAACAAACACGTGGGCAACACTACACAGAGAGAATTCACTCGAACTGAGAACAAGCTGTGGTTCCGTTATCTTCACATGAGCTGCTGGCTCATCTTCCCCATGCCACCCTCGCCAGCTCCAGTGAGTAGCCTGGACGTCCCGTCCTCGGGGGGCAGGCCTGGCAGTGACACCTGAGAGGAAGCGACAGAGGCTGGCCGGCAGAAAGAGGGACATGCCCTTCGAGGTCCCACGACAGAGAGACGGGACCAGGGAGCCCCCAGACCTGCGTGGGCGAGGCTGCGGTCGACCTGTCAGCACGGCTTTGTGGTGCGAGGCTGCCCCACGAAACAGCGCTCACTGCACGTGTTTCTGCGTGGCCTTTCGTCTGCCCACGGCCTGCGTTCCGGTCACGTGTGGCGCAATTAGCCCTCCGGCTGTCGTGGTGAGGAGTCGAGGGCACTATTGAACTGGCTCCTGCTCCAGCCCCGCCATTTAAAGACATCTTGTCACCCTGGTTGGTTTGGCTCAGCAGTTAGAGCATTGGCCCGCAGACCAAAGAGTCGTGGATTTCGGCCAAGGGCACGTACCTTGGTTGCAATTCATCCTGGCCCTGGTCGCATCATGCGGAGGAAACCAGTCAATGTGTCTCTCACATCAATGTTTCTCTCTCTCCCCCTCCCTCCCCACTCTATCTGAAGATAAATAGAAAAGTATCCTCAGGAGAGGATTAAAAAATAAATTAAATAAAGGCATCTTGCCAGTGACGAGGGACCAGAGGGGAGAAGACTAGTGAAGGGTGGGATGAGCAAAGCTCTGCAAGCCTCCGATGGGTCAGCATGGACGCCCGCCTTCCGATGAACCCCTCCAGGACGTGCTGACAACGGGGTGGAGGGGGGACTGTGCCGCCATGCCCACGCCCCAGAGGAAGGCAGCCCAGAGCCGAGGGCTGCCAGGGGGCCAGGGCACAGACCCCACTCTCCAGGGCACAGGTGCCTTCAGGGCCAAGAAAGCGACACAGGGACTTGGCCACATCAGATCCATGTGCTCACTAGAAGCCACTTTTCCTACAAAGTGCAGAGAGCACTTAGACATGAGAAGGAAAACAGAAGGTCAAAGAGTAAGCAAATAACTTAAACTGCTACAGAAAGATTCAAATACATTTTGGAAGAAGTCACGTGAGATCAGAGGTCACTTACTCTTTCCTTGGGGCCCATTAAGCCCCATGCAGCTCCTCTGGGGATGAGACACTGGATGACGGTGGCCGCCAGTGCTCAGCCACGACCCAAGGGCGGCTGTGACTCTGAGCCCGCCACACGACAAACACTCACAGCAGCACCGCCCGCTGGTGGGCAGCGGACAAGGGTCCGTGCTGGGAAATGCCCGGCTGAAAGAATCCCCACCCACAGAACTTCCCCATGTGGGCAGCTCTCCATCTCTCGGGTTCAGGTTTGTGGATGAAAAGGGTTTCTACAGTCACTTCACAGGGTGATCAGATCATGAGTCCCTAACTGGGCAGGTCACGGGGGGCAGTCACGCCCCAGCCTCTGACTTCTTCAGTGAAAGGTCTGTCTTTGCCTCGAGCCTGCCCTGCCCACTGTTCCTGGGCCTCGTGCTAACACACGGTTCACAGGCCTCCTCTGCGCCTTCACCACCCTCCAGGAGTGCACCTGGTCTTGACTATGTTGTAGTCCGAGCGGCCTTGTGCCCCGCCCCCCCCCCCCCCCCGTCGTCTCCCGACACCCTCCTGAATTCTACATGCACAAAGACGCTGCAAGTGCCCCTGCTGGGGCGTCCAGGACCTGCTCCCCAGCACTTGCAGCTCGGCCCAGATAAACCCCATGAGAACTCTCCACAGGTCTGGATGTCTCCATGAGTCAGCAGGGCACAGCGACCCCGCGTGCGCTCACGCTCATACACATTGCTCTCTGGGGTGTCCTGGGCGAGCCCACCTCTCCGTTTGATGTCTGCTCAGTAACCAGAGCATCGAGGAGCTAAACACCATGACGTCAATGCTCCCTAATTAACACACAACCCAATACGCTTCCCAATAGATGTCTTATGAAAACCAGACAAGCTGAGTGAGAAAGTTCATGTGGAAAACTAACCCTGAAACACTGGAAAAACAAAACGAAACCAGGGACACGAAGGCCAGCCCCATCTAACAGCAGCTACGTCGCACCCTGGTCCTCACAGTGCGAGGCGGGCTGGTGCAGAAGCAGACGCCGCGGGGCAGCACGCAGCTGGACCACTCGCTCCGTGGCACAGTCACAGCTGGGGCCGCGTCAGAAGCAGACGTCGCGGGGCAGCGCGCAGCCGACCACTCGCTCCGTGGCGCAGTCACAGCTGGGGCCGCGTCAGAAGCAGACGCCGCGGGGCAGCGCGCAGCCGGACCACTCGCTCCGTGGCACAGTCACAGCTGGGGCCGCGTCAGAAGCAGACGCCGCGGGGCAGCGCGCAGCCGGACCACTCGCTCCGTGGCACAGTCACAGCTGGGGCCGGCGTCAGAAGCAGACGCCGCGGGGCAGCGCGCAGCCGGACCACTCGCTCCGTGGCACAGTCACAGCTGGGGCCGCGTCAGAAGCAGACGCCGCGGGGCAGCGCGCAGCCGGACCACTCGCTCCGTGGCACAGTCACAGCTGGGGCCGCGTCAGAAGCAGACGCCGCGGGGCAGCACGCAGCCGACCACTCGCTCCGTGGCACAGTCACAGCTGGGGCCGCGTCAGAAGCAGACGCCGCGGGGCAGCGCGCAGCCGGACCACTCGCTCCGTGGCACAGTCCAGCTTGGGCCCGCGTCAGAAGCAAGACGCCGCGGGGCAGCGCGCAGCTGGACCACTCGCTCCGGCACAGTCACAGCTGGGCGCCGCGTCAGAAGCAGACGCCGCGGGGCAGCGCGCAGCCGACCACTCGCTCCGTGGCGCAGTCCACAGCTGGGGCCGCGTCAGAAGCAGACGCCGCGGGGCAGCGCGCAGCCGACCACTCGCTCCGTGGCGCAGTCACAGCTGGGGCCGCGTCAGAAGCAGACGCCGCGGGCAGCCGCGCAGCCGGACCACTCGCTCCGTGGCACAGTCACAGCTGGGGCCGCGTCAGAAGCAGACGCCGCGGGGCAGCGCGCAGCCGACCACTCGCTCCGTGGCGCAGTCACAGCTGGGGCCGCGTCAGAAGCAGACGCCGCGGGGCAGCACGCAGCCGACCACTCGCTCCGTGGCGCAGTCACAGCTGGGGCCGCGCGTCAGAAGCAGACGCCGCGGGGCAGCGCGCAGCCGGACCACTCGCTCCGTGCGCAGTCACAGCTGGGGCCGCGTCAGAAGCAGACGCCGCGGGGGCAGCGCGCAGCCGACCACCTCGCTCCGTGGCACAGTCACAGCTGGGGCCTCGTCAGAAGCAGACGCCGCGGGGCAGCACGCAGCTGGACCACTCGCTCCGTGGCGCAGTCACAGCTGGGGCCGCGTCAGAAGAACAGGCAGCCGGGTCCTCCCCACACACTCCAGTCAGTCCCACTGGACCAAGACTACGTGTGGAGAGGAAATTAGGAAAACTCGAGAAAAAACACGGGGTCCTATTTTGAAGTATCTGAGTGAGGGGCCAGACGACACAAGCCCAGAGCCACAGAAGACAGCAGAGTCGATGGACAAGGGCCTGGTGCTTACCAGAGGTGGGGGGGTGGGGTCCAAAGGTAGAAACTTCCAGTTACGAAATGAATGCGTCCTGGGATGTCATGAACAGCATGGAGACTACATTAGTAACACTGTGCTGCATATTTGAAAGTCACTAAGAGAACAGACCGTGACCGTCCTCCCCTCGGCCCTGGCCGGGGCGCAGTGGCTGGAGCGCCGTCCTCACACGCCTGGGCGCGGGCTGGCTCAGTCAGGCACGCACAGGCCTCGCCAGAGTGCACGAACAAGTGCACAGCAAATCCGTGTCTCCCCCACCCTCTTCCCCTTCCTCTCTCTCTAAAATCAATCAATTTTTTAAAAAGTTCTCATCACAAGAAAAAAACGGCTGCGGACGTGTGAGGTGACACACCATACTCATTGGACTCACGGCACAACCATTTACAGCACAGATGTCCAGTCCTCACTGTACATCTAGGAGGAGCTAGGAGGTACATCAATTACGCCTCAATAAAATACAAAATAAAATCTCTGTATGGGAAACACACCATGAGCTAAGTCAAAGGACAAAAAAGAAACCATGGGGAGCCCGGCCAGTGTGGCTCGGTGGTTGGGCGTCAACCCGCGCACAGAGAGGTCCCGGTTTGATTCCTGGTCAGAGCACATGCCCGGGTTGTGGGCCTGATCCCAGTGGGGGGCGTGCTGGAGGCAGCCAACCGATGTTCTCTCTCACACTGATGTTTCTCTCTCCTTTCCTCTCTCTCTAAAAAAATCAATACAGCCCTGGCCAGTTTGGCTTAGTGGTTAGAGCGTCCGCCT